GAAAGACAGGTCAGTGAAAGACTTTAAAATGGAAAACAGTGTCTGAACAAAGAGAGAGCTGAGTCTGTTTGGCTGTAGTCGTGTCTGACGTTCAGGTGAAGACGCTGAGAGACGGAGACAAACACAGCCAGCAGGCTAGTTCAGCTGAGCTGAGACACGAACCTCCATAAATCTGTACGAAGTGAGGAAAAAACCATTGAAATCAGCTCAGTCTGAACAAGATTTACGTCCTGAATGATATCAAAGTCATTCGTGTTAATTAATGGATGATGGACTTTGAGCAGTAAGTTAGCAGTAGCAGTTATGGAGATTCAGCTGCACTGATTTCGGATTTTCAGAATGAATAATAGTCAGTTATAGTGATATTCAAACAAACAAATTCATATTCTGTGCGTTTTAAACATAATTTTACAACTTCCCCAAAATAATCAAAATGAATCCAGTCCACCATGCACCGAATCATTTGTTAAAGAATCAGAATTGAATCAAATTGAGGTGAAATTTGAACATTCTTGATTCTCTGAATCGTTGGTTATATAATCCGAATTGAATCAGTTTAGTATTTCATAATTCCCTGAGTCATTTGTTAAAGGATCATAATTAAATCGAATTAGAGTGAAATTTGAGCGTTCTTGATTCTCTGAGTCGTTTGTTAACGAACCTGTAATTGAATCATGGTGACGTGTGAGATTCCCTGATGCTCTGAATCGCTGGTTAGAGAACCGCAGCGGAGCTGAATCTCTGAGGTTTGCGTGATGAATGTGAGTATATGAGCAGGGACAGGTCTCAGTAGAGTTCTGTGTGCTGGAGATGTGTTTACTGAATTGAAGTGATATTTGGGGCCAGTTTCTGTTTCACTATGAGCCGCTCTGTGTGGGAATCTGCTGATCTGCTGGCACGAGACTAAACTTCTGTCTGTCCTTAGAGAAAAACACAGAGCTGCTGAACTAAAACAGCAGAAACAGTTCATTTTGGTTTCGTTTTGATTAGGATTCGGATTTAAAAGGTATTATTACATATAAGGGCTTATATATATGTGAATGTAATGAATACAAGACACTACTGCGTGCAGATACTCACATATATGTAATGAATGTGGGACATTATTATTGCATATGGATATTTATATCTACATATATGGTGCAGATGTGCTTCCACAGAGTGAAAGAGCCTGGGTGCTGGCGTGTTTGAACACGTCTCAGTCAGACTGTTGGGCTGGTAGTGTTTGTCTGAAGGTGCTCAGTGTCGGTAAGTCCGCACCTGCAGGAGTCACGTTCAGGTCGGGACCCGCACCTTCAGGACGTTCTCAGGATAGTCTGAGGACTACAGCTCAGAAACATCTCAGCCCTCTGAAAACTCATTAGACAGTGGACGATCTGAGTCAGGGGACACTGGGAGACCTGCAGAGGGCAGCGCAGGGACCACGTGTTCATTTACTCCGTCATTCAGGTTTGACTTGGTCAGTGGTGCTGATCTTCTCTCAGTGTGACTGTGGACTGTAATGTTACGGTGATCGGATGTGGGTGAACGTTACAGTGATAGGACGTGAATGTTACAGTGATTGGATGTGAGTGAATGTTACGGTGATCGGATGTGAGCGAGCACTACAGTGATGGGATATCAGTGAACGTTACGGTGATCGGATGTGAGTGAATGTTACAGTGATCGGATGTGAGTGAATGTTAGGTGATCGGATGTGAGTGAACGTTGCAGTGATCGGACGTGAGTGAACGTTACAGTGATCGGGTGTGAGTGAACATTATAGTGATCGGACGTGAGTGAACATTACAGTGATCGGACGTGAGTGAACGTTACGGTGATCGGACGTGAGTGAACGTTACGGTGATCGGACGTGAGTGAATGTTACGGTGATCGGATGTGAGTGAACGTTACAGTAATCAGACGTGAGCGAATGTTAGTGATCGGATGTGAGCGAATGTTAGTGATCAGACGTGAGTGAATGTTACAGTGATCAGATGTGAGCGAACGTTACGGTGATCGGATGTGAGCGAATGTTAGTGATCGGACGTGAGTGAATGTTACAGTGATCAGATGTGAGCGAACGTTACGGTGATCGGATGTGAGCGAATGTTAGTGATCGGATGTGAGCGAATGTTAGTGATCGGATGTGAGTGAATGTTAGTGATCGGACGTGAGTGAATGTTACAGTGATCAGATGTGAGCGAACGTTACGGTGATCGGATGTGAGCGAACGTTGCAGTAATCGGACGTGAGCGAATGTTAGTGATCGGATGTGAGTGAATGGTTTAGATGAACTGCTCAGTTCCAGATTTCAGTCCCTCATCAGCCCCTGATTTCAGGTGATTGATCAGATTGGTATTGATGACCTGCAGTGCTGACTGTCCTCATTAGCTGTGATTTGTTATTGATAATCTAACTGTGTTTGTGTGTGTGTGTTTCAGGAGTGGGTGGTTCGGTGGTCTCGCTCTCTCTGTGGTCAGTGATCATCATGCAGGTGAACACAGCGCTGATCGTCCTCCTGCTGACCCTCCAGATCACACACAGCCTGAGCGGTCAGTCTGTCTGTCTGTCTGTCTATCTCTCTATCTATATGTCTGTCTGTCTGTCTATCTGTCTGTCTGTCTATCTATCTATTTATCTATCTAAAACAATTCAATTATGCCAGTTTGTCGGTTTTGCAAATGATCAGTTAGTTAATTACGTGTAATATTATTATTATTATTATTATTATTATTTAGTAGTTCAGTAATAAACTGGTCTGATTGTAGTTGTGTTATTTAATAGGACTAACATGAACGTTGTGTATTGTTTTTAAACTTGAGGGCTCAGTAAAGTCAGCTGATGTACCTGAATATTGATATTTGATTGTTATTTTTTTTGATAATATTAGTAAAGCAACTTTACTGAGTGATATTCTGCTCAGTTCTGCTTAAAGACTGCAGCCCAGCTGCTGTTGTTGTTGGTTCCTATGAGAGAAAGGTTCTAAGTGTGAGGTTCAGTATCAGTGAGTGTGCTGGGGGAGCTGTGGTGCTGAGTGTTGGCTCCTCTGCTGGAAGGTGTGGAACGCTGTGTTTACGTTTTTTCACTGTGTTCGTGATTCACTCCTTTCACAGCTCTCAGCTCCTCTACACTGCGGAGAGTTGGTGATGGTTCTGTCTGTCTGTGTTTGTGTTCTAGGTCCTCCAGTTCCCCAAAGCCTCTCTCTGAAGCAGGACTTCGCGTCTCAGACTCTCTCTCTGACCTGGGAGAGCCATGCAGCGCTGTTCGACATTGAGATCTTTCGCACCGAGCTGGAGGAGAACGTTCTCAACGTAAGAACTGCAAACACCACCAGATATTCTAGATATTACTGCTGTAAAGGTAAACATGTTCCAGTGAACACTGCACCTGGTCTTATTATGAAAGATGTTGCCTTTGGTTGGGAAGATTTCACACAACAGTTAGGAATCATGCCGAAGGTTGAAGGAGCTTCCTAAAGTTCTCTAAAAAGACCTTAAACATCCCTGATAGTATATGTGGCATTTAGAAAAATCAGAACTCTTCTGGAACAGGGTCCTCAGAAATAGAACTGTTTGGTAATAATTCAGCTCGTCATGTTTGGAGAAAGAAGCATCTGATCCTGAGAGCTCCTGCAGTGAAGCATGGTGGTGGGAGCATCGAGATCTGCAGCATCACACGCCATCAAAGGAACCATGAATGGAGCGATTGTAGAGAGATTCCTTGTCATCAGCCAGGAAACTGAATCTGCGGAGATGGACGTTTCGAGAAGACAGTGACCCCAAACATGCTGCCATAATAACTCCAGACTGCTCTCAGTCCCATTGAAACTATGTGGAGGATTATGAAACTGAGAGATCATCAGAGGTTACAGAAGACTGTGCACAGTAACGTGGCATGGATTGACAGACTGCTGTCTGCACTTCCCACTGAAGTTCTCCACTGTTGAGCTGCAAGTCAGAAACACTTTAACGGAGTGTAAGGAGAGGCGATTCAGGGCGTACACAGCAGGGGGATTAATGAGGGCTAGTTATTATTATAAGAAGATTACAGTTTTAGAGCTGGAGTCAAAACAAACAGTGAACTCAGACTTAAAGCTGAACACACCCAGTGGAGCTGTTAATGAAAGCTTATGTGAAAAACATTCCACCCCCGCAGGATGAAGCACTAAAGCCAGACCGGTTTATCTCCACAGCTGCACAGTGTGCACTGAATGCTACACTGAGACTACATTAAGACTACACTGAGTTTACACTGAGACTACATAAGGACTACACTGACACTACGTAAAGACTACACTGAGTTTACACTGACACTACGTAAAGACTACACTGAGTTTACACTGACACTACGTAAAGACTACACTGAGTTTACACTGACACTACATAAAGACTACACTGAGTTTACACTGAGACTACATAAAGACTACACTGAGTTTACACTGACACTACATAAGGACTACACTGACACTACGTAAAGACTACACTGAGTTTACACTGACACTACGTAAAGATTACACTGAGTTTACACTGACACTACATAAAGACTATACTGACACTACATAAAGACTACACTGAGTTTACACTGACACTACATAAAGACTATACTGACACTATGTAAAGACTACACTGACACTACACTGACACTACATAAAGACTACATTGAATTTACACTGATACTATACTGGTATTGCACTGACATTACACTGACACTACACATATGATTATAATGTGTAATATGTGTGTGATTATAATGTGTATATGATTGTCCTGTGTAGGTGATAATAGTTTGTATAAAATGTGTAATATGTGTGATTATAACGTGTAACATATGTGATTATAATGTGTATATGATTGTCCCGTGTAGGTGACGGTATCTGCTGCGGTTGATCCCGTGTCAGGGCAGCGCATTTGGACCTGGCGCTCTCCGGTTCCTCTGCAGTGTACCTCGCACTCTGTCCACATCAGAGCTCGACAGGAGAACACAGTGAGCCCGTGGAGCCCCCGGCAGATCGTACAAGGTAAGAAGACGTCACTGCAGGACCTTACTGAGGATTTACTTCATCAGCCCAAACACCTGATTTACAGCTATAAAAACAATATAAACACTCAGAACAAGATACAGAAAATACTGGGTTATATAAGATATAAGAGTCATATCTGTTATTGAGAATAGTTTTATTTACTTTTCACAGTTTTAATGAACTAATTAGCAAAGTGCACATCACACTGATTAATATCGTAATGTAACCAGGAGAATAAAAGTCTACTGATTAAATAAAGAAAGAATTGAATGAAGTGGATCACTAAGTCCATGTTTGCATATATCTAATATCTACAGTCTCTAGCTATACTTCATATCAAATAATCAGACAAGAATAAATGAATGAATGAATGAATGAATGATTTCCCAAAACAGCTAACCATCAGTTTTTTTTTAATCAACAATCAAAGTGATTCTTACAGCCATTGTTGATCAGGACAGTTGAATATTTTGCACTAGAGCTGCAGCGCCATCTTCTGGACAGACTGCGTCTTTGCTGAGTTCAGGTTTATTCAGTTTTTCACACCTGATGCATTCATGCAGTTTGTGTTTGTGTCATTAAAATCTGACCTGCATACATGAATGTTGATTTATCTACTTTACAGTTTGTTGCTTAAATAAAAACACTGAAATGAGAGAAGAGTTCTTTATACATAAAACCAGAGCTGTTTTAAGGCGAGTCTGGCGTTGTACCATAATCATGACTGCAAAACACTAGAGGGCCCTTAGTACATGGGGTTATGAATGCTGAGTGCTGAGCAGACCAGTAGAAATGCTCTGAATAAAATCTCTGCAAAATTAAGTGGTTAGGATGTATTCAGAGAGGTTCAGAGAGGTTCAGAGCGGTTCAGAGTGGTTTGGTATGAAACGCTCTATTCTAGAGAAACTTGCAGAGTCAGAACTGTTCACAGTGGTGGTGATAGGAACCAGACGTCCACCTCTAAAAGCAGTATGTTATGTGTTGATCTGTTTTAGGCTCTGATGTTCCAGACAAGCAGCAGGCTCAGATGTATCCTCAGGATAAGGTGGTTCCGGTGGGCAGTAACCTCACGTTCTGCTGCATCGTGTCTGAGGGTGGCCAGTTCGGCAGCATTCAGAACCAGAACGAGAAGATGGAGGTGACCAGGATGAGCCGCAGGAGCTTCGCTACCAGCGTGACGAGTCTGCCCCAGTCCGGCCCCACTGGCACCAACATCATCTGCTGCTCCCCACTGGAAATCATCGTCGGAGCCGTGGTGTTCGTGGGCTGTGAGTGAATCTAACTGTGACACCCAAAATCTCAAAGATTCATAGTGGCGCCTGCTGTTTTAACACCTGCAGGGTCGCCTTAAGAAAGAGCAGATAGTGCGTGGATGGATGTGTGGAGTTTTGCACGCTGAGCTGAGTGAGTGTGTGTGCTGTTTCAGACCCCCCGGGTGACAAGGGTCTGGAGTGTGAGACGAGGGACCTGCAGAAGGCCGAGTGCCGCTGGAGGAAAGGACGAGATACAGGATTCTGGAAGACCTCTTTACTTACACGCTACACTCTCAATGGCAGGTAAGCTAAAGCTACACGATGTACGCTACAATGTATAACCTACACCGTATACACTACACCTTACACACTACACCTTACACACTACACCTTACACACTACTGCATATACACTACATAAACACTACACAGCATTCAATACACTGTACACACTACACCTTATACACTGCACCTTATACACTGCACCTTATACACCACACCATATACACTACACCATATACACTACACCTTATACGCTGCACCTTATACACTGCACCTTACATACTACACCTTACACACTACTGCATATACACTACATAAACACTACACAGCATTCAATACACTGTACACACTACACCTTATACACCACACCATATACACTGCACCTTATACACTGCACCTTACACACTACTGCATATACACTACATAAACACTACACAGCATTCAATACACTGTACACACTACACCTTATACACTGCACCTTATACACTGCACCTTATACACCACACCATATACACTACACCATATACACTACACCTTATACGCTGCACCTTATACACTACACCTTACATACTACACCTTACACACTACTGCATATACACTACATAAACACTACACAGCATTCAATACACTGTACACACTACACCTTATACACCACACCATATACACTGCACCTTATACACTGCACCTTATACACTGCACCTTATACACTGCACCTTATACACTACACCATATACACTACACCTTATACACCACACCTTACACACTACTGCATATACACTACATAAACACTACACAGCATTCAATACACTGTACACACTACACCTTATACACTGCACCTTATACACTGCACCTTATACACTGCACCTTATACAGTTTAGGGAGTTTAAGGAAAATGTCTCAGAACACCCATCTGCAGTGTTTAACTGTGTCAGTTTTATTAAGTGAGTGTCTGTGTGTGTGTGTGGTGTGTGTGTGGTGTGTGTGTGGTGTGTGTGTGCGTGTGTGTGTGTGCGTGTGTGTGTGTGTGGTGTGTGTGTGGTTTGTGTGTGTGGTGTGTGTGTGGTGTGTGTGTGGTGTGTGTGTGCGTGTGTGTGCGTGTGTGTGTGTGTGTGGTGTGTGTGTGCGTGTGTGTGTGTGCGTGTGTGTGGTGTGTGTGTGGTGTGTGTGTGGTGTGTGTGTGGTGTGTGTGTGTGGTGTGTGTGTGGTGTGTGTGTGCGTGTGTGTGTGTGTTAGGCGCTGTGTCGAGGCAAAGAGAGACCTGAAGCTGTGCTGCTTTGACCGCTGGGAGAGCAGCTGGACCCTGACAGCTGAAAATGAGCTGGGAGCCGTCCAGCTGAACGACTCCGCCCACATCACTGAGCGCGGTAAGTGTCGTTAGGGAGTCTGAGAGTGACCCCTCTGAAGTCGAGTGGGGTTCTGTAGCCAGCGTCATGATAATCTCAGGAAGTTTCTCTGTGGGGAACGCAACATGTTCCACGGCCGGTACGTTTCCTCCTACGTACGACTCTATTAAAGCGTTTTAATTAATACCTTCATTCTGAATATTGATTTCATTAGAACTTCATTCTGGATGCTCTACATTTTTATTTACAGCTTCCTGCTGATTTTCTGAACTCTTCAGAGTTTCGTTTGATTGTTTATCTGAGCTAAGCTGGTTTTACGTTACTGTAAAGTGACTGAACAGCAGGTGTGTTTGTTCTTGTGTCTGATGGAAATGTTTGTGTTGTTCTGCAGTGCGTCTCTTTGCTCCGGTGAACGTTTCTGCGGTTCCTCAGGCGTGGAACTCCAATCTGCAGTGGAGCTGGACCATCCAGGCCATCCAAACTCTGGACTTACTGTGTCAGGTGCAGCTCACCAGCGGGGGGCGCTCCAGCACTGTAAGTTACTGCTTTACCCAATCTCTAGATTAAGGAGTAGTAAAAGAGCCTGTGATGCTGAGAATCAGGCTCAGTTTATAGAGCCTAAAGGCCAAACTGGGAGCGCTCAGACATTGTCGCGCGCTCTGATTGGATAGATACTCTAAGTTTGTAGTGTTGCTGTGGTCACCGTGTGCGGCTGTGTCCACTTTCCTGCTGCTTGGCTGCTGTGTATGTGAACAGGCAGCATGTGTGAGCTGTAGGGGCCCGAAGAAACAGCACCGGTTGCCAGATATTCAGAAATAGCAGCAATACACATTGATAAGATGATTCTTTTTTGTTTTGAAACCTTTTTCCGCAGCTGCAGTTCATTTAGAAAGCAGCACACGCACCCAGGACAGTGTAATGTCCACCACAGTGCCTCTGGTCGCTGCAGCTTAAAATCCTTCTATTAGTGCAGTTTGACTGTAATACTGGAAATATTTGCCTTCATCCAGAACTGCTGTATAAAACTAAAAACTGAAAACTTCTGAAAGTTCTAAAGGCCTATCAGATGGTTCACAGCTCTAGATATGTTCCTTATGGTTCCTTTATTTCCATAATGACATAGAAACGCCCTCCAGTGGCGAGCAGAGGGATCTGCTCGAAAGTGAAAGTGGACACATAACGATATTCAGTTCACCAGAGTTTCAGTTAAGCAGTTCTGCTGTGTGGTTTACAGTGCAGTACTCAGCTGGTCCACACGGGGGCGACTGACGAATAAAGCTCGTGAATGATTTAGTAAGAGAAGCTAACGAAGTCCGTCTGTTTGCAGCGTAACTACACCGGGGTGGGATTATCCGCCGCTCTGCTGGACGGACTGAGGCCGGACGTCGAATATTCCGTCTCTGTACGATGTGCCTCTCTGCGGAGTTTCTGGCGCTGGGGGGACTGGAGCGCCCCCTACAGCTTACGCACCAGGATGGACCGTGAGTAATTCTGCCTTCGTTAGTGCGCTCGGCGCGTTCGTCTAATTACACACTAGAGCTTCAGTCTGGAGGGAAAACCAACAGCTGACAGACCAGAGGAGAGAGGCAGGAGGATTAGCGAGGGGCTGGGAGTGGATAATACGATAACGATCAAAACCACACATCTTTCAAACAGCGCTAATGTGTGTTTCAGGTGTTCTGATAAAATTATTATTAGTGTTTTTACTTTCTAGAGAACGAGAAGAAGTCTAGCTGTTCACTCACAACACCACACACCAGTTAGCCATCATTGTCTGTTTCAGTTAGCAGAGTTTGCTGTTGTTAGCTGGGTTTATTGCTGATGTAGAGTTAATTAGACACCCATATCTTTATAGTTATGTTTTAATTTAATGTGTATTTTTATTCTGCGTTCTCTCTTGATGGTGTAGGCCCTGAGGCTCCTGATGTGTGGGTGAGGATGGACAGTGAAACCACCGGCCGGATTCTGTGGAAAGTAAGAAAATAATTCTTTAATGTTTTCATTTTTAGGCTTCTGAGTAGAGAAGCTCCAAAATTACGACCAGCGATGATTGACTGTAAAGGTGTGAGCTGTGTTTTCATTTATAGATTAAACAGGTTAAAGGTTAAAATGTCTTTCCTGATCGTTTCTGTTTTAATGACCGTTACAGCAGTTTCTGGGTTTTGTTTGTTTTTTTTTATTTATCAAGAATTTTACAAATGAATCAACATCAAATTAAATTTGTCCGTTTTATCCTACTTGGTTGATACACAGTATAGCATAAATGAGAATGTGAAGTAGTTGTAACTGTTCTCTGTCTCTCTCTCTCTCCTCTCTGTCTCTCTCTCTCTCTCTCTCTCTCTCTCTCTCTCTCTCTCTCTCTCTCTCTCTCTCTCTCTCTCTCTCTCTCAGCCTCTCTCTGTCAGTGATAGTCACGGTGCTCTGGAGGCCTATGAGGTTTATCAGAAGGACGGAGAGCAGGACGGATGGACGATTCTCTCTCTCCCTCCCTCCACGTCCAGTTTTCCCATCATCCTCAGCAACAGCAGCGGCGGTGACGTCACGGTTGCCGTGGCAGCGCGTAACCCGGTCGGGCTGTCCAAGCGCTCCGTTGTGGTGGTTCCAGAATTCCGAGCAGGTGAGTTCCCCTCTTTAATCCTCACTGTTACTGATTTCACTCTCGGAACCCCTCAGTTCTACAGCCATGCGGTGGTTCTGTATGAGGGCAGGGGTGGGTCTAGCACTGTGGGGGCCCTAGGCACTCCCCCCAGACCTACACGCTTAAAAAAGATGGTTCTTCAAGGGTTCTTTAGTAAAGACAGTGGTTCTAGATTGAACCATTCAGAGAACCATTTGCATGCTTAAATGGTTCTCTGAATGGTGAAATTGTTCTTCAGATTGATGGAGAATATGATATAAAAGGTTCTGTAATATAGTTATATCTATTTAGCACCAAAAAGGGTTCTTCTGTTGTTATGATGTCAAGTTGGTAACAACAGCAGAACCTTTTTGGTTTTATATAGAACCATATACAACACATTCTCCATTAATCGGAAACCGTTTCACTATGCAGAGACCGTTTAAGCATGCAAATGGTTCTTTCTTTCGTGTCCATGGTCCTATATAGAACCGTTGCCTTTACTAAGGAACCCTCGAGCTGTTGTTTTGAATGATTGGTGTTATTAATTTGACGAGGCAGAATAAACTGTCCTTGTTTACAAATAAACAAAGTAGATTAATAAAGCGCATCATGAAAAGCTACAGATGTTACCAGATGTGATCTGTATTTTTTCCTGCAGACTCTCAGCAGTCAGTGTCAGAGCTGGTGGGCAGTGATGGAGATTTAGAACTAGCCTGGCAACCCTTGCCCAACGCCAGCCGAGGCTATTTGGTGGAGTGGGTTCCCACAGGCTGCACTGACCACTGCACCATTCAGTGGATGAAGGTTCCAGAGTCGAACACCAGCACCGTCATCCAGTCAAGTGAGAGCCCCGCCCATTCAGCCTAGATCACATTAGCCCCGCCCATTCAGTCTACAGCAGTTTATCTCCACCCATACAGTCTACAGCAGTTTAGCTCCACCATTCAGCTACAGCAGTTTAGCTCCACCATTCAGCTACAGCAGTTTAGCTCCACCATTCAGTCTACAGCAGTTTAGCTCCACCATTCAGTCTACAGCAGTTTAGCTCCACCATTCAGCTACAGCAGTTTAGCTCCACCATTCAGTCTACAGCAGTTTAGCCCCACCATTCAGTCTACAGCAGTTTAGCTCCACCATTCAGCTACAGCAGTTTAGCTCCACCATTCAGTCTACAGCAGTTTAGCTCCATCATTCAGTCTACAGCAGTTTAGCTCCACCATTCAGCTACAGCAGTTTAGCTCCACCATTCAGTCTACAGCAGTTTAGCTCCATCATTCAGCTACAGCAGTTTAGCTCCACCATTCAGTCTACAGTAGTTTAGCTCCACCATTCAGTCTACAGCAGTTTAGCCCTACCATTCAGTCTACAGCAGTTTAGCTCCACCATTCAGTCACAGCAGTTTAGCTCCACCATTCAGTCTACAGCAGTTTAGCTCCACCATTCAGCTACAGCAGTTTAGCTCCACCATTCAGTCTACAGCAGTTTAGCCCCACCATTCAGTCTACAGCAGTTTAGCCCCACCCATTCAGTCTACAGCAGTTTAGCTCCACCATTCAGTCTACAGCAGTTTAGCTCCACCATTCAGCTACAGCAGTTTAGCTCCACCATTCAGCTACAGCAGTTTAGCTCCACCATTCAGTCTACAGCAGTTTAGCTCCACCATTCAGTCTACAGCAGTTTAGCCCCACCATTCAGTCTACAGCAGTTTAGCTCCACCATTCAGCTACAGCAGTTTAGCTCCACCATTCAGTCTACAGCAGTTTAGCTCCACCATTCAGCTACAGCAGTTTAGATTTCTACTGTAATCTAACTGGGGTGTGTGTGTTTCTCTGTAGGGTCTCTGGAGGTTGGAGTGAGGTACACACTCTCTGTGTTTGCTCTGAGTGATGAAGCTACAGCTCTGCTGCAGAGGCACCATGGATACGGGCACGAGCTGGGTGAGACACTAACATTCTGGATAGATTTGGGCGCTAAAATAATTATCACAGTATTTTTTTTTTCTTTTTTATAAAATGTGCTTCTGGTTCTCTGTCTGAAATTGAATAGTTAGCTAATGTTAGCTATTTTCAGTTAGAAGTGTTTCCCAGCGTTAAGTATCTTCAGTTAGCAGGACTAGCTATTGTTAGCTGTATTTAGCGTTAGCTATTTTAAATTATGTAGAATAAAAAAAGCTCTGAGTTTGAAGAAACATTTCAGATCAAGAGGAGACTGTGGAGTGAAAAAACAGCTCAGGGTTTAAAGTTCTACCTCAGACTTAAAATTGATTGTGTGTGTTTCCTGCAGTTCCTGTCCAGTCTGTGAAGTCCCTGAAAGCCCGGCAGTCTGGCGAGAACATTCTGCTGTCCTGGGAGCCTGTGGCCATATCTAACAGGAGAGGGATCATCCGTGGATACACCATCTACCTGAACAATGCCTCACACCTGCAGCTCGTAGGTCAGTCTCTAGAGATCATAGGGCAGTCTATGGAGCTTACAGGTCAGTCTGTGGAGCTTATAGGTCAGTCTCTAGAGTTCATGGGGCAGTCTATGGAGCTTACAGGTCAGTCTGTGGAGCTCATAGGTCAGTCTGTAGGGCTCATAGGTCAGTTCATGGTACTCATAAGGCAGTCTTTGAAGCTCACAGGTAGGTCTCTAGAGCTCATAGGTTAGTCTGAGGAGCTAAGAGGTCAGTCTGTGGAGATCATCGGTCAGTCTTTGGGCTCATAGATTAGTCTCTAAAGCTTATAGATCAGTCTCTAACTCAAGTCAGTCGATGGAGAGTATAGGCCAAAATATGGAGAGTATAGGCCAGTATATGGAGCTCATAGGTCAGTCTGTGGGCTCATAGGTCAGTCTGTGGTGCTTATTTGTCAGTCTGTGGAACTCATAGATCAGTCTGTGGAGTTCATGGGTCAGTCTGTATAGCTTAAAGGTCAGTCTGTATTGCTTAAAGGTCAGTCTGTTGAGCTCATAGGTTCAGTCTGTGGAGCTCATAGGTCTGTATAGCTTAAAGGTCAGTCTGTTGAGCTCATAGTTCAGTCTGTGGAGCTCATAGGTCAGTCTGTATAGCTTAAAGGTCAGTCTGTGGTGCTTATTTGTCAGTCTGTGGAGCTCATAGGTCAGTCTGTATAGCTTAAAGGTCAGTCTGTGGTGCTTATTTGTCAGTCTGTGGAGCTCATAGATCAGTCTGTAGAGCTCGTAGGTCAGTCTGTGGGCTCATAAATTAGTCTTTGGGCTCATAGGTCAGAGTGTAACTCCTCCTGTCTGATTATCCCTCAGCGAACGTGACTGATCCGGCGCTGAGGTCGTACACAGTGAAGGGTTTGAGTCTGGGCTCCTATAAATTGACCGTGAAGGCGTTCACTTCAGCCGGAGAGGGAGGAGGATCCACTGTGGCCATTAAAATGGAGTCGAACAGTAAGAGAAAGAGATCTGATTATATAAATAAAAGAGTTTAATGTATAAATGTACAGAGACGTAAATGCGGGTAGGAATTCAACTCCATCTGTTTTGGAAGCTTATTTGAAAGATGATAAATGATCTACCTGCTGTTTGATTTATTTTTTGTGTGAAATGTTATATGATAATGTATATTCAAATTCTGTGTAGGTGATATGTTGGTGGTGCAGCTTCTGGTGTCTTTAGTAGCCATGTCCTGCTGCCTCGTCGTCATTAGCATCTTGTGCTATAAGAAGAGAGAATGGTAGGAATTCATCTATAGTTTATCATTATTTGTTTCACTTTCAGCTCAGATAGCTTTACTGACATGACTGTATCAATACAATATTCAGTAGAAATCACAGTAGTTGTGGTGTTAATAACAGCAGCAATTGTGGTTATAAAATTCAGCATGGAATTCAGTTTTTCTTTAAAACCGAATGTCGTTTTGACTTATGGAAGTTAACATTCGCTGAATAGCCTTTGATCTGTTGGTGTGATCTTTTCATTTTAGGGTGAAGAAAGCTTTCTACCCTGAGATTCCTGGACCCAAGCTAACTGGAAATTGGACAGCTCCTCCGGTAAAGCCACCTCGCCTCATTCGTTCTCTTTCCTTGCTTCCGTTTAAAGTACACTCTTACGTTCAATACCGAACGGTTCCCTGTAAGAATTAAAAGTTCCTTAAATATCTACTAAGGTACTCAAAAACTAGAAATACATTTAAGGTACCTCAAATAACCTTCCCGTTTATCATGCTGTCTGGAGGACCCCTTGACAGTCTACAAGCTCTTGCAGGAACCTCACCAGTTCCCTCAAGCACCACTGTTAAGTTCTAGATTCCTGGAAGAACTATCTTTTTTTGAGTGAGCTCTAAAGCACCTGTGGGGGTTCCTAGAAGAACTTACAAATCTAAAATGGGTCATTTTAAGAAGCCTAGACTTTTAGACCCCTTGTATTCTAGCAGGTTCCTAGAGTAACCAAAAGGTTTGTGAAGTTTGTTGAAGAACCTAACAGTTTGAAAAGGGTTCCTTGAAATACCCAAAGACTTTTCAAGACTGTTTTGGATAAAACGGTTCCTCAAGGAACATTGTAAATTGTCGTAGGTTGCTCAGAGAACTGCCCCTTTCAAAAAGGTTCATGGAGGCTCCCAAAGGGGTTCCACCAGTGTAGCAAGCTGAGGAGCCCCAAAAGGTGCTTTAAGTATCCTATCATTTTTACAGTATTACTACCATTATGCCACTGAGGAAACAGTACGTTTGGGACCAAGGTCCCTTTTTGTTTTCTGTCAGAGAAGACACAGTTTACTTCTTTAGCTTTAGCACTGAGGATCCATGAGGTTAATGTAGCTTACATGTTGTGGAATCTTATATCCCACCAATTAGCATGGTGCTAACTGCATACCTGAACCACTTTGGCCAGAATTGTCCACTAAATGACGAAGTTTAAAGTAAATATAATTGTTGTTTTTGGTCAGGCTCCTCTGGACATCAAGCCGCCCACTCACAGCCTGGTCCACATTGTGGAGAGTCCTGAGTGGGACTCGTCAAAGAAGGGGCTTGTCCCGGTGCCGGAGGAGGAAGTGGACGACAACGGGTCTGTAGGCGAAAACGTGGAGGAGGACACGGACTCGGACGAACCCACCCTTCTCAGATACTACAACCAGTTGGTTACCGACGGTTCCCATAGCAACTATGCTTCGGACACGTCAGGGTCCTCCACCAGCTCGGTGGACTCCGCTCAGACGCAGGTGACCTACACAGGGATCCAAAGCCCCACCTCCTCAAACTGGGCGCCGTCTTATGGCTACAGACCCCAGATGCAGCCTGTGGAGGGCGCCGAAGAGCCGGCAGCTGGATTTGAGAACGAGCCCCAGCAGGAGAGCCCGAGCGTAGCATACAGACCCCAGTGCTCCTGGCAGGCGGAATCTCCGGGGGCCGAGAACTTTAGCGGATCTCTGGGAAGCCCCACTTCTGTGACATCCTCGCAGTTCCTCATCCCGGAAACCGCCGAAGAAGATCCGGAACCTTCAGGAACCTGGTTCCAGAACTTTCTGTCTGGCAAATTCTGAATCCAGGTCACATTTCAGTTGCTTCCGTGAGGATTTGTCGTCGTTTAAGCTTCCGAGTGTGGTGCTTTTCTGAAACCCATCTTCATCTATGCTCATACTTGCCCTAGCATTCAGTGACTTTATGAGCCCACACATTTTTTTTCACATTTTTGATGAAAGGCCTTGGCAGTTTGCGCTGAGGCCGAACCCGTTTCCAGGAAAACAGCTCCTCGTTTCTGAGCGGCGGAGAGAAGGAGATGAAACACTACTGAAGAGCGACAGCTAGTTTTAATGACTACCTGAGCTCTAACAGAAGGGTATTTAACCTTAACCAGCAGAGGGCGCTGTTCTCAGCTGCTGAGAGCCGTACAATGGCGCCACCTGCTTTTCCCAAGCGTACTATTCTGCAGTATTATCCGTTTGGTCATGAAATTGGAACAGACAGATCCTGTTAGCATTCATATAAGCTTACTGATCACTGGTGATTGTTTCTGTTTTTTGTGGCATTAACTGCGTTTCAATGTAGAGAAAACACGTCTAAGGTCATCTGAAGTTTCAGAACTGACTTACTCAAGGCCTCTAAACCAGTCACAGAGCAGTGCTCTTTAAGGAGACTGCTTTCACTACAGCATATATTTTTTTACATTTTGTTCTATGGGAGGTGAAACCAGTATTTTTTCCCCCTGCAGCCCATTCGGGGAATCACAGGTGCAGCTGACGCTAACTATATCCACCGGTACCTTAAACCCTTATTAAACACGTTTACAGTTTGTTTACTAGGGAACCGTTTATTCAGTCAGTGCTGCATAATTTTGCATAGATCCAAAGACATTTTTAGTTTCAATTCTGATAAGTAAACCTAATGACAGTGAGGGTCCTGCATCAGCAGCGTGTGGTCAGTAGGAATGCAGTAGGCATTTTTTTCCTGTTGCATTTCAAACCCAGATATCTCGAAATATTTCACTGAAACGATTTATTCTGCAGTTCGAATATGAAACATTAACATATAAGATTTAGCATCTAGTTATATCGTGCAGCTAGTGTTAATTAGAGCTAATTAGTCGCTGATGGTTCAGTTGATATAATTATTTTTTGTTTTAAAAGAGATTTCTCAAAATTCCCCCATAACTCAGTGTGTGAGGTGTAAACAGAGGGATTCAGAGAGGTTTGGTGTGAAACGGTTCAGATGTCCTTACAGTGGTGGTGATAGGAACCAGGGGTCGCCATGACTACAGCACAAATATAGACATTTTATTTACTATCCAGAACCACCAGTGAACCTACACGAGTCTTCTGAGTTTATATGGAATGTTGATGATGAAAATTTTTCTTTGGGGACTATTTTGCCTCACAGCGCCCTGCATGTATCTCTCCACCATGAATGGAGTTTAAGTTCTCTAAACTATCATAAAACAGTGTCTCAGTCATCAGGCAGTGAATTCATAACCATTTACTGTAGGAACTTTCTGTGAGGGAGCTTTTAGAGGTGGACGTCTGGTTCCTATCACCACCACTGTGAACAGTTCTGACTCGGTAAGTTTATCTAGAACGGAACGTTTCACACCAAACCTCCCTGAATGACTCTGTGTACATCTTAACCACTCAATTATGCAGGAATTTTGAAAAATATTTGAATAACCACGGCCATTCCTAGTACACAGTCTTCATTGCTGCACAATTTGACCAGAAATTAATACAGAAAAAGTGTTTAATTATGAAACACAAATCCTGCAGTGCATCCTTTTATCATCCGGAATATATTCAGAATTGTTCTCTGATCATTCATAACGTTTAGCCCTGTTTATTCTAACACTAACGATAATGAAGTGGCATTATGCACACAGAGCTATTGACACTACTGTGAAGGGCTTTTATGCCGTGATCTGCTGTTACTGAGTATCATACCGATGCTCTAAACAGCCCTGTTTGGCCACATTATGGCTTAAAAGAGAGATTTAAAGGTGTACATTGACTCACACCAGGGTTATAGAGCATCACACAGCAGACATAAAGCCTGAACTTTGCCCTCAGCAGAAGCAGCAGGACGAGAAAAGGACGGTTTGGGAATTCAGCTTAGTTACTGGAGCTTTAACGATACTACTGGGAGAGGTTTTATTTTAAGACAGAACACAGTTACTAATGTCATTTTATTTTTTGACAGATGGACAGATATTTTAGCACTTTTCCTTTTTTTGCATTTGCTTATGAATCTGTATTATTTTTGTATGAACTTTTAATATGTCATTTTTATTTGTGTCTGTAATTTGAGTGCAGCCTGAGCATTGCGCTGTGAAGCTGGCTTCGTGGGTCGCAAGCTAGCGTTATGTTTCTAATCGCTCTGAAACGAACGGACATATCTGGATATAACTTACATTTTCCAAACGTTTGTTTTGCTGACTCGTGTTCCCAGCTTCACAGCCCCACTGCCAGGTCCAGATCTAACTGTGAATTGACGGAGAGTGAGTCGGCTCAGAATAGAAAGAGGCTGTTTAAGCTTGAAGATCAACCACATCAACACTGCCTGGAGTTTGGAAAAGCTTGAGTCGCGGAGTGCAGTCGGCACAGACTGGGCTCTTTATAACAAACTCGGATACGGAGTCACACGCTGTGTTCAGAATGACCCCTGATCATTATTCAGGACTTTGGAGTGCTATATAGATAGATAGATAGATAGATAGACAGACAGACAGACAGATAGATAGGTAGATAGATAGATGACTTTATTAATCCCAGAGGGAGCTTCTTCTATTGCAGCAGTACAAAGCACAGCACAGAGCAAACAATAGCAAAATGAACAGAAGCACTGTTATAAGAAATAGAAATGATCCTTAATCACTACTGCCTACAGTATAGACTATGATCATGTTTATATTTTTTTAAATTAGTGCACGATAGTGAAGTGTATAATTTTTGATAAAATAGTGCACTGTACCTTGAATAGTGTACAATTTTTGATAATATAGTGCACTATACAGTGAATAGTGCACAATATTTGATTAGTGCACTATACAGTAAGTAGTTCCTTTTTTAATAGAATAGTGCGTTGGACAGTGAATAGTGTATAATTTTTGATAAAGTAGTGCACTATACAGTGAACAGTGCATCATTTTTGATAAAGTAGTGCACTATACAGTGAACAGTGCATCATTTTTGATAAAGTAGTGCACTATACAGTGAACAGTGCATCATTTTTGATTAAGTAGTGCACTATACAGTGAACAGTGCATCATTTTTGATAAAATAGTGCACTATACAGTGAACAGTGCATCATTTTTGATAAAGTAGTGCACTATACAGTGAACAGTGTATCATTTTTGATAAAATAGTGCACTATACAGTGAACAGTGCATCATTTTTGATAAAATAGTGCACTATACAGTGAACAGTGCATCATTTTTGATAAAGTAGTGCACTATACAGTGAACAGTGCATCATTTTTGATAAAATAGTGCACTATTTTTATGCGTTTCATTTTTGACAAAATAGTGCATTATACAGTATTATAATTGATGAAAAAGTGCACTATCCAGTGAAAAGTGTATTACTGTTGATGAAATAGTGCACTACACCGAGAATAGCGCATTGGTTTAAACAAAACCCTGCACTGTATAGTGAATCGGGGGTGGTTGTGGACACAGAAACAGACTCTCTAAAGCAGGTTCACTGCTGAAAAAGCGCTGCAGCAGCATTAATGAACAAAAACGAGCTTAGCGGATGCAGCAGGGGGACTCGTACTACCTTTGTTACACAGACTGTCATGCTTACGCACACGCTTGTGTAAACAGCCCAGGCGTGATCAGCTTTAACCAAACAGAAAGAAAAGCTCTGTCGGTGACATTGTCACAGTCGTGGTTCGGTATTTTGAATTGACGCACTACAAAGCATGAACCGTAGCGTCGGTGTAAATATGCAGCTGCAGCTAATATTTACCACCATTCTGTTAGCTTTGCTTCTTCACTTCTGCATGTAGCTCTTTAGATAAGAGTATATCTCAGAGAGTTAGCGTGTATTTTATGGTTTATACAATCTTATATTCAAACACTAACATGGTTGCCTTTCTGTGCATGAGTGTCATCGTGCAGATACACAGTAACTGGATGTTTCACAGATTAAGAGCTGAGCAGCAGAATGTATGTGTGTGTGTGTGTGTGTGAGAGAGAGAGAGAGAGAGAGAGAGAGACCTAGTGAAGCCTAATGCTTTCTAAGATCTGTATACTCTGATACACTAACAGGCCAACGGCCACCATGTAGTTTGTACAGTAACAGACAATAAAGAGAGAAATCACCAGACTCTGCTTTCTTTTCTTCATTTCTTCATACCAAACACTACACATTCAGTGTGGCTTCACCCAGATCAGGTCATTTAAATAGCTCCACTGAGTTTAACTTCCTCACTGCGGACCTGGAGGTGACCGCCAAGATGCAGGAACCAGGAGTTTGGCTCTGGCTGGGAGCGTCTGGGCTGCAGTCTGAGCCCCAATGCTGGTGGAGGTGCAGTGTACGCCTGGGTGAAGAGGAGTGAACTAAGCCACATCTCTGAAATTCAAGTTTCTACCAGCTTTTCTGAAGATGAAGAAAAAAAAAACAACAGTTTTGTTTATGAGTATGTTAGTTTGTCATATGTTACACTTGAGCCCACAAAAATGGGGAGGTTATAATTGGTTGGTTCTACATGAAGATTTGGATGTAATTCAGATTGACTTTGCGTCCTGGAGCTGGAGGTTATCACCACAGTGGAGGACGAGGCAGTGATGGCTGTGATGAAGATGAATATGGCAACCTACATCTCCGTCACTCAAGCTACTAGAAGTAGCTTAGCCTTCAATCTTTAATAATAACCTTCATGCATCTTTTTTTTTTCCACTGTATTTCATCCTGCCTCCTTTTAATGTGCTGGTTTTTGATGAGCTGGCCATAAAAAGAGTGAAGAGCGGGTGCTGGGAGGTAATATAAGCATACTTTGGGCGAAAGTGGGGTCGAAAATGGGCCAGAAGAGGAAATACTGGCTTATGCTCAACCGAATTAGAGCCTCGCTCACACCTACATGAAGGGAGGCAGGATCATAACAAAAAACCAAAGATGGGTCTGCTGATTTCTGGGGAAACTGGAGGTGTGTCTGATGAAATTCCACAGGCGTTCTTATAAGAACACGCTGCACACAAATGAGTGCAGCAGCACTGTTTTCAGGTTCGAACATAAACACAATAAACTTCAAAAAGCTGGTGTACTCTTTTCTATGGAACCTGGAGGCAGGGGGGTAGCCAGACCCGGTGGAGTTATTGGGGAGGCAGAGGAAAAGATAAAGCAGCTCTTAATAATGTTCTTCAGTGCGTATGTTGGTGCTACTTTATCAAAATAAGAAAGACAAATAATAAAGGAAACGTGTCAGTTTTTTCAGTGCATTAACGTTAATATTTCAGGTTGCAGGAGTTAGGCTGCCCTCGTTTAAGGTGACGTCATGAGCGAGCAGTCTTTGGCTGGGTAACAAGATGACCTATGTTTAGCTGGAATGTCCACTCAGCTGTGGATTCACCTCAGGTCACAGACTCAGCTGTAAAAAGTAATTGATATGACAAATCAGTGCCGGCTGTACCTAATAAACGAAACCAGGGTCTTTACTGCACCATTACATAGTCTAAGACGCTCGAGGGGAAGAAGAGTTTAGCAAAATATCATTAGTAATTAGTGATAGTAAGATTTTCATCATAAAGATTGGAGTGGAAATATTTTTAGCACCTCACTGGAGATCAGAGTTTGTATACTTTCACCCTGTTTTGTCTGAACAATGACATGTTGGATGCTCAAGGTCTTATTGTATTGTTGTTGTTATTATTGTTGCCAGAGTAATAATAAATACAAATATAGCCGAAAACAGGGTCCAAGCTTGCTTTGCAAGTTCGCCCAACATTGCTATCTTGGCCACGACCCTCCTTGAGGGAAACGTCAGTAAAGATTCATACTAGATATGAACTTTAATCGTCGTTGAACAATTTTAAGTCCTCCAAATGCAGCCCGTTGTGTTAATATGCTGCAGGAAATGGACCTTACCTTTCATATGTCCATAGCATGACAGACTTTACACCAAAATGTTTTTTTTTTTCTACTTATTGGAAATTTTATAATCATTTTATAATGTGTTGAATTTGACTCATGAGACAATCAGACGGGGTACAAATGAGCTGATTTGGGAACTTTAGCTGCCAATTACTTTAAAATGCTGCTGCAGTTGGACTTCATCTTTGATGTGTTCATAATATGAAGGACGTTAAATGAAAGGTTGCTGTTTTGGTGGTCTACTAACTGGTAATACTCATTTTATAAATTGTTCAAATTGACTTATGAGTCAACTAGATGGGGTGCAAATATACCAAATATCACCAAACTGTGCTGGACGTGGGCCCTCCAGGGCCAGAGTTGTGCACCCCTGGTGTAAAGCCTTCAGTCCAGCTCCTGAAGTCCTGACCAATGAGAGAGCAAGGTACCACAGAGAGAACCATCCTGACTGGTTACGTTTTCTGTCATGCCTTTGAAGAATCTAGCCCTTTTGTTTCCAACTGAAATCAAACAAGCACGATGATTATATTAAACTAAAAATTGTATTTTTTATTTCACAGAAAACATTAGACTTCGTTTGATGCTCCCTGACGGTTGAAGGCCCCGAAGGTTCCCCGTTGTGTACATATCTTTTGAAAAGCAGGAGGACCCACCTGCTCTGGAGAACCTGTTCAGGCAGGTCACTGCTTGATCTCAGATCAGCTTTTTTTGATGAGGAAACATTTTTCCTATGAATGAGGTTCATACTGATCGAATGATTCATCTTTGTTCTCAGTACAACTAGATCATTGTTTACCTCTTCCAGCAGCTCTGCTGATTGGACCACACGTTCCCTCCACCTCCTCTCCTGCTGTATATAAGGAGGTGATCCATCTGTCCAGCTTCACCCTCAGCCAGAGAAGATCTCCACAGAGTTCTCCACCACCTCAGCAGAAGAACCCAACCACAAGATCTCCACTCAGAGACACTCATCCACCACAACATCTGCTTCACCGGTAACTATGAAACAACGTGTTCCTCTCTCTAAAATTACATATATAAATACATACATACAGCTGTGTGCAAAAGTTGCGCACCCCTGGTCGAATTTCATGCATGTGTTGGATTTCTAAGTGTAAATAAGTTAACTCATCCTCTGCACTCTTAAAAAGATGGTTCTTCAAGGATTCTTTAGTAAGGAACCCTTGAAGAAGCCATCCAAAAGATCTCCACAGAGAGACACTCATCCACCACCTCTTTAGTAAGGAACCCTTGAGGAACCATTTTTGAACGCTCAAAGAACCATTTGCATAATTAAATGTTTCTCTGCATGGTGAAATGGTTCTTCAGATTGATGGAGAATGTGCTGTAGATGGTTCTATATAGAACCTTTTTGAAAACGGTTCTATATAGCACCAAAAAGGGTTCTGCTACTGTTAGAAGCTTGACATTGTTACAGTAGAAGAATCCTTTTTTTGGTGCTATATAGAACCATTTTCAAAAAGGTTCTATATAGAACCATCTACAGCACATTCTCCATCAATCTGAAGAAGCCAATCATGATGCCAAGAACCCTTTAATAATGCAAAGGGTACTTTGAGTTTTCATGGTTCTATATAGAACCATTTTCTTTACTAAAGAACCTTTGAAAAATCATCTTTTCTAAGAGAGTATGAAAAACACACTTCTGTACATTTCAATGCACAACTACTGTTTATTTACTGAATTTAACACACAGATAACAAACAAAACGTGGCTTAGTTATGGCACCTTTTATATTTTATGTTTTATTTTATTTGTTAAACAAATAAATGTCATATTTGAAGTGTGCTCTCTGTAGAGGATTTTCTGTTATTTCTGTTATTTTCACAAAATCAATAACAAACAATAAACAAAATATTTTTTGAAGTGAAAAAAAAAACAAAACAAACTATAATTAGACATTTGTGGTAAGACACCCCCCCCCTCCCAAACCCTCGGACACAAAAGACCCCCTTTAGCAAAATATTGCTTAGTAAGATGTTCATCATTAAGAGACACAGATGTTTCCTGGAGTTTGGCTAGAATTAGGAAACACTCGGAGTTTGCCTGATATTTACCTAACCTGAACAATTAAATGCTTTGTTTAAATGATTGTACTGTTACTATTGTCACAATAATAACAATTACAATAAACCAATGAAATTGCATAACATCAATATGTAATTAATATAACAGGAACTATTTCATTAATGAACAAAGCTGACATTTCAGGTCTTTCTATTTTGCTGTCATCCGTCTTTTTAGTGCTTTGATTAGTAACAGTTTCTGATGGAATTGAATGAATCCATGTGGTGTGTGAGGTGCAGTGAGAAGAAACCTGTTCTTCTAACCAGCTCAGAAGATCCCAACTACTTTTTTTTGAAAACTTGAAATTCTTGCTTTTTTTTTTTACTGCGTTAATGTTTATTCGTATTTATTCTCATGCTACCTGGTGTTTTTACAAGCACTTACTAATACAAATATGAAATACACGATTACTGTCTAAATTAGCTTCCTTTCTTCTTCACACCAGGGTCTTCAAGTCCAACCATCGAAGCTCAAAATGGCATCTAGCAGCTCCGACACAATCAGACAAATCCAAATCTCTCTCAATAAGGAGGAGGAAGACCAGCTCACAGGAGAAGGTTTCACCAAAGTTCCTGTCAACCTCCATGGAGATCAGTGTTACAGAAGTGCCCCCTGCGTTCCTGTGGTACAAAAGAGGGAGCGACAAGCCGGTCACCAGGATCCAGTTTTCATTCAGGAAGGAGATGGATGAGGGTCTTTCTGCCTCTGGCTTCACCAAGATTAATGCGAATATTGGCACCAAAACCCATCCCATGTACCTGTGGTATATAAGCGGTTCCACTGGTTTTGACATCCCCATCCTGGACCTGACAGTGACCACCAGTGTGGAGGAGGAGCCAGAGCTGGTCCGCTTGGGCTGGGAGCGTCAGGGCTGCGATCTACAGCGCGACGCTGGAGGAGATGCAGTCCACGTCTGGGTAAAGAGGAGTGAACCAAGCTACAACAACGGCATCGTTGCTATTATCAATTTCTCCAACGACGCAAGTTCCTTTCAAGACGGTTTCATCCGTGTCGACGAAGACACCAACCGTGGGGTGAACCCTCCAGGTTCTGCAGTGTTTCTCTGGTGTGCTTGCTCCACGGATCAATCCTGTGTCATCACTGATGTAGATGTTTCTCTCAATCAAGATCAGGAGAAAGAGCTGCAGGCCAAGGGCTACGAGAAGGGTGAGAAGAACCTCAATGATGGCACCACAGGAGATCGTGTGTACCTGTGGACCAAGTTTAGCGAAAACAGTCCTGCCATCCAGTTCTTCACCGTGTTAGTCGGTGATAAAGCACTGAGCGTTTATAAAAATGCTAACGTCTGCAAAGTTGTGGAGAAAAACCTGAACAGTGGCAACAACGGAGTTCCCCTTTATGTTGCATACAAGTAACAGAGTCTCATTTTGAGGAATTGAGCATTTTGAGGAATTAATTCTGCAAGCCTGATAGCTACACTCTCAGAACAAAAGGTACTAAACTGTCACTGAGGTGGAACCCTCAAGGGTACATTTTCAGTTCTTTTAGTTACGGGAAAATTCTACCACATTTCACTACGTTTAAAATTTTCTTAGTAGTATTGACTCCACACATCCGACTGGCCTTTTTATTTTATTGTTGTATTATTTTTATGTTTATTGTTGTATTTAAGGTGCACAATTGGACCTTGAACCTGTTGTTGTAACTTTGAGGCTACAATTACACTGTTTGTACCTTGGTGAATGAAAAATGTACCTTTTTGTCTGCCACTGTATCTGCACTGCTGAAAAATTTCGGGAACTAAATATGGCACGTAGATTTGTTGGCGGTTAAAGGGAATTCCATTGATCTTTAAAATTGTTCAGATGTAAACAGTGTGATTCAAAGTGGTTTGGGGTGAAATGGTTCAGATGTCTTTACAGCGGTGGTGATAGGAACCAGGGGTCGCCATGACTACAACACAGATATAGACATTTTATTTACTATTCAGAACCACCAGTGAACCTACACGAGTCTTCTGAGTCTATATGAATGTTGATGATGGAAAATAGTGGAAAATCTGAAATAATAAGTTTTCTTTGGGGACTATTTTGCCTCACAGCGCCCTGCATGTATCCCTCCACCATGAATGGAGTTTAAGTTCTCTAAACTATCATAAAACAGTGTCTCAGTCATCAGGCAGTGAATTCATAACCATTTCATGTAGGAACTTTCTGTGAGGGAGCTTTTAGAGGTGGACGTCTGGTTCCTATCACCACCACTGTGAACAGTTCTGACTTGGTAAGTTTCTCTAGAACAGAGCGTTTCACACCAAACCACTCTGAATGACTCTGTTTACTTCTTAGCGAGTTATTTGTGCAGAGATTGTGAAAAACCAGCAGAATTCCCACTTAAAAGCGATATCATTAGATTGCTGTCTCGCTTTGCCCTTGTCTTTGTTTTTCTGTATTTTTTTAACTTCTCTAACTCAAAAATTGAACTGAACTGAATGTAAAGTATTTCCACACAAATAAATACTTTTTTTCAACATACAGCAATTTGCTTAACTTTACTGAACTTAATCTGCTGTCACATTTCAAACTCAACTCACTAAAGTTCATTGATCTTGATTTACTTGTGTTGGTTTAACTCATGTTGGTCCAACTTATCTTACTTAAAAGTGGACATTGTGTGTGCACAGTCAGTTTAGAAACACACTAGAGAGTAAATGTAAAGCATAATAACAAGGCTGTTAACAGAAATAGAAGTGTACACCCTAAAAAAGATGAAAGACACGCCCAGTGTGCAAATAAATGCATCCAGAAGCCAATAAAATCTTTGGATACAGATGATAATGTAGATGGCCCCCTAACTCGAATTAGCTGGGTAGTGTGGGACATATCCTACAGTACAGCACACTTCACTTGTTTAGCAGGTGGAAGAGGCTTTTATTTGACCTGATTAACTTTGGCTGATTGAATATTTTGGGATAATTTTGTTCTCAGCACTTTTACTTTCAGTACATTTTAAAAATGGGTAAAGTTCATTTGTTTTCTTAAGATGCACAAGAACCAGTTCTACATTCTCTGAGTGCTCATGTTGTTGGCAAAGTGCTCTTGTTTTTATTTTGGCCCTCCTGCTCCTCCTTTGCTCTGCCCTTTTGTCACACCCTTGAGTCTTGTGTGCGGCCCTGCCCAGTAATCACTCCCAGGTGTTTCTTGTTGGTGTTTTCCAGTGGTTAAAAACATGAAACTTAAAAAATTAAAAATTAATGAAATGAAATGAAAATTAAAAATCACTTCTGTCTGAATCTTTATTTTCTAGTGATTTAAAAACACGTCTAAAGCATTACATGTAATTATGTGGGCTTAATGTGGGCTTAATGTATGAAATCTAGATCAAGAAGTTTGGTCTTAGTTTGAAACCATGGAAACCCCAGCCGGTCACTTTCTTCAGTTATTTAGATATGGGGCAAAAAAAATAAAAAAATTCACGAATTTCACATTAAAAAACAAAACAAAACATCAAACAAATGCAAAATGCATCCTGGAAATGTGCTTTAATCTGCTAATGAAGCTAACATAGATAACCGAAGGGAGCTGAGGTAATTCAGGGCTCTTAAGCACCTTGTAAAATGAGTTAAGATAACACTTCAGTGGAACCTGGATGTAGAACCAGAGAATTTCCAACTAACTTTTAAAAGACCTCATTCACCCAAAAGGACATTTTACTGTCAATAAAGAAATGTTTAATTGTAAAGTTTGGTCATCTCATCTTTCAGCTATACAATAAAAAAACAGTGTCAGTCTTGCTCTCCTCCTGAATCGTAAGGCCGACAGATTTAATCAGATTATTGTGAATCGTCTCATGACTGAATAACACATTTTAGAGCTCATTTATTCATTATAGCCAAATGAACTAATGTGATTAAGGTGGTCTATCTGTGGTTAAGGTGGTCCATTTGTAGTCAAAGGGGTTTTCTGTGATTAGGGCAGTCTGTCTGTGGTTAGGTTGGTCCATCTGTGGTCGAGGTTGTCTCTTTCTGTGGTTAAGATGGTCCATCTGTGGTTAAGGTGGTCCATCTGTGGTTAAGAGAGTTTACTATGATGAAGGTGGTCTATCTGTGGTTAAGGTGGTCTGTCTGTGATTAAGGGGGCTTACTGTGATTAAGGTAGTCTATCTGTGGTTAAGGTGGTCTATCAGTGGTTCAGAGAGTTTACTATGATTAAGGCAGTCTATCTGTGGTTAAGGTGGTCCATCTGTGGTTAAGAGAGTTTACTATGATTAAAGTGGTCTATCTGTGGTTAAGGTGGTCCATCTGTAGTTAAGGCAGTCTATCTGTGGTTAAGGCGGTCTATCTATGATTATGACAGTCTATCTGCTGCTGGTTCCAGTGGATCAGACACAGCAGTGCTGCTGGAGTTTTTAAACACTTAGTGTTGCTGCTGGACTGAGAACCAAAAACATCCAGCCAACAGCGTCCTGTGACCACTGATGAAGGACTAGAGGATGACCAACACAAACTGTGCAGCAGCAGATGAGCTATCGTCTCTGACTTTACATCTACAAGGTGGACCGACAAGGTAGGAGTGTCTAATAGAGTGGACAGTGAGTAGACACCAGCAGCACTGCTGTGTCTGATCCACTCGCACCGGCGCAACACACACTAACATACCACCACCAGGTCAGTGTCACTGCAGTGCTGAGAATGACCCACCACCCAAATAGCACCTGCTCTGTGGGGGTCCATGGGGGTCCTGACCATTGAGGGACAGGGAAACAAAGTATGCAGAGAAACAGTTGGACTACAGTTGGTCTGTAACTGTAGAAGTACAGAGTGAAACTATATGGTCAGTGCAGCTGATACAGTAGACAGTGAGTGTAGAAACAAGGAGGTGGGCTTAATCTTATGGCTGATGGGTGTATATGTTGTATATAATACAATATTAACAGATATAAATCTGGGCTGGATGTATGTAATAATGGAAACACTAGTTGGATAGATAGATATTTTGGGGGGACGGTTCATAGCAACGTAACATAGTATAACGTTTTAAATAAACAATTTAAATGACTGCAATGAATGAAAGGTGCTTGATAAATAAGCTTGCCTTGCCTTATGTTTCATAGAGTTGTAGAAAAGCCCATCAGAAACAAAGCCTTTATAATGCCCAACATTATAAAGTTATGAGAGAACTGACCTGCCTACACGTCCCATCTGTGACAAGAACACGGTCAGATCAGTTGCTTTATTACACTCTTAGCAAAAGGGTTCTATATAGTATTGTAGCGTCCGGCTGCTGCTCGAGCGAGAGCCTCTTGAGACGTGGCCATGCTAAGGGCCATGCAAAGAGGCTCACGGGAAGTGTGCACCCTCTGACATTTGTTGACATTGTTGTTGTTAATGTTGTTGTCCGTTAGTTTAAGTTGTGTATGGGTTGTGTTATTTCGTTGTTGGGGGTGGGGGGGTGGAAGCCTACGGCTGGTGAAGACCTCCCCAACGGGTTCAGTGCTCTTTCTGTACCTTTTCTGCTGATGTTTCAATAAAAGAGCACTTCTCGCAGTGGAATCATGGCCTCTCCTGTGTCTTACTCTACACCGACACCACAGTGTACAAAAAAGTGACGGGTAACAGTAGCAGAACCATTCCTGGTGCTGTGCAGAACCAATTTTAAAAGGATTTTTCAATGATCTCCAAAGAACAGTCAAAGAAAAAAAATCCTTTTTCTGTCCATTTGTGCATTCAAACGTTTCTTTGAGTTACTAAAGAACCCTTGAACGACCCCCTTTTTAAGGGTGTGATGAGGAATATTAGCTGGAAGTGTAATCTCATTAACACACAGAGGCAGATTCTTAAACAGGGCACAGTAAACAAAGACTAAATTTGACCACTTGAATGTAATATAGTATCTTGACTATATGTTGATCTAGTTCAGGCTGCAGCCCGTTTACATTAACCTGGTACCAAACCAAAATGACCTGAATGAATATGCAATCTTACAGAATCAAACACAGAGGTGTGTCTCTGCTGTGGGCCTGTATTCACAAAGCTTCCCTCTTATCCAGGATCAGCACTCTCACTCTCAGAAGCTTTATCAGTATGGACCCTGGAAAGCCTGTTCAGGCAGGTCACTGGTCAATCTCAGATTACCTCTCTGAAGTGTGTCAATGTGTTAGAATCATGATGAGGAAACATTTTTCCTATGAATGAGTTTTACCTCCCACATACTGATAAAATAATTCACCTTTGTTCTCAGTGAGATGTTAACGCCCTCTAGCAGCTCTGCTGATTGGACCACAGTCTTTCACGTGTTCTCTCCACTATATAAACAGGAGATCCATCAGTCCAGCATCACTGCATCTGCCAGAGAGGGTCTCCACCACCTCAGCAGAAGATCCCCACAGAGGAAGACATTTATCCATCAGAGGACAAGAACATCTCACCGGTAATTGTTCTTTTGATATCTTTTAGTGTTTCTACAAACCCAATTCCAGAAATGTTGGGACAGCGTGTGAAGTGCTAATGAAAACAGAATGCAGTAATTAGTAAATTCTATTTGACCTGTATTAAACTGAAAACATTTTACGGCATTTGGCAGGCGCTCTTATCCAGAGCGACTTACAATTTGTTCATTTTACACCGGTAGGCGAAGGCAGTGTTAGGACTCTTATTGGTGTTAGGACTCTTATGGGTATAGTGTAGGGTGTTTACTCGGGTGGGGGAATAAACCTTAGTCTACAGTGGAGAAGACAAAGGTGTTACCCACTACACTACACCAAACAATGCAAAAACTCAATATTTGATATTTACCTCATGAACTGTATTTTTTTTGTAAGTATACACTCATTTCAAATTTGATGTCTGCAACACATTCCAAAAAAGCAGGGACAGGAGCATGTTTACTCCTGTGTCACATCACCTTTCCTTTAACAGCACTTAATAATCGTTTCAGGACTGAAGACACAAACTGACCCAGTTTAGAAAGCAGATTTTTTTTTCCGTTCTTCAGTTATACAAGCAGCTGTGGAATCGTACAGGGCTTTTGTTGTCGTATTTTACACAATGATTTTCAGTTCTGGACTGCAGGCAGGCCAGTCCAGCACCCGCACTTTCTGATTACGCCGCTGTGCAGTTGTAACATGTGCAGGATGTTTCTTGGTGTGTCATGTTGAAATAATCATGGACGTCCCTGAAAAAGACGGCGTCTAAAAGGCAGCATATGTTGCTTTTAGGAAGATTATCCAGTGTTAATGGTGATTTCCCAGATGTGCAGTTTACTCACTAAAACCGGTCACCAGGATCCAGTTCTCTTTCAGTCAAGTGATGGATGAAGGTCTTTCTGCCTCTGGCTTCAAGATTGATGTAAATCTAGGCACCACAACCCATCCCATTTATCTGTGGTACATGAGTGGTTCCACTCAGTTTGACTCCATTGTGGAACTGGCGGTGACCACCAGATTAGAGGACGAGTTGGAGATGGTCCACTCTGGTTGGGAACGTCTGGCACTGAATCGGAACTTTAACCCTAGTGGAGGTCCAGTTCATGTCTGGGTGAAGAGGAGTCAACCAACCTTCATCTGTGACTTTCAAGCTACTATTGATTTCTCTGAAGACACAGATCTCTTTCGGCAGGGTTACGTCCGTGTGGATGAAGACTTTAACCGGATAGCCATAACTACAGTTTATGCAGTGTTCCTCTGGTACCGCCACTCCAAAGATCAAGAACGTGGCATCACTGAAGTAGATGTTTCTATCCTTAAAGATGATGAGGAACGATTGAAGGCAAAGGGCTTTACGAAGGTTGATAAAAACCTCAACCCTAGCGACATTGGAGGTCCTATATATCTGTGGTACAAGTGTGGCCAAACTGCTGCCGCCCGGTTCTTCACTCTGTTAGTCGGAGATAAAGCTTGACGAGTTTATAAAGAAGCTAAGATCAAAGTTGTGGAGAAAAACCTGAATTATTATAATAACTGTATTCCCATTTATGTTGCATATGAGTGACAGTCCCAGCCAGAGTGAGCTGATATTCTACTGTTCAGTACAGGACAGAGGAGGACGGCATGAATATAACTCCATTTAGTACAACATAAACAAATGTAACTCCATTTATTAGGTTTTATATTTTTCACCTGTCACCTTTCTACACTGGAGAGATGATGTACATATGTATTCTTTTATGGCACTGTCCTGTTAAAGGTGGACGTTTGGTCTTCCTGGCTATGGCTGCTGCGTAACTTTCAGTAAACAAGTGTTCTTTCCTTATGTCAGATGTAATGAGGCTTTCTGTGAGCCTGATTATCTGCACTGAAGGAGATCTGAGAGAGAAAATTTGTACCTAATAGTTAAATCAGCTCTACTCAGAGATCTGTTTAGAGTGTTTAACAGTGGACTGTACATGTTAAAGTAGATAATGTAAAGATTGTATAGTCTAAAGCTGTGTTCATCTCATCCTCTGTAATTCTGTCCTTTCTCTGATTAAAGCATCATAGAAGACTGTTGTCATCTTCTGAGTCTGTCTTATTTGAAAACTCCTTTACAGTGTGTGAAAGTTCCATACAAAACGGACTGACAGAAATGGTCCAAAAATTAACTGGAAAAAATCTTGTTACACTGACTTCCATTGACCCTCCCGTTACGTTCAGCTATGAGGAACAGCAACAACGCTTACAGGTCACATTGACCCAATGCATGTTTAACCATCCAAAAGTAGTTAAACTAGATATTTTTTCTCCATAGACATTATCATTAGCTCAATAGACGTCAATTTAATCCATATTTAGTGCAATCAGGTTTTCTCACCATTTTTCACTCATTTTTTCCATTTTTGGTAAAATTTGTTTTATTTATTCTTATTTAGATTTTTTTTTCCATTTTTAGATTGTTTTTTGGAGACCTCCAAAGGCTTTTGTGTCCAGTGGCCTCACAAGGCTATGACCTGTCCCTGATGGACACTCACATTTGTCAATCGTGAAACAGCGCCACCCTCCGGTTATTGAAAGGAACTTCAGTGAAGTAGAATATTTATTGTGCCACTTCACTGTTTCTGAGTGGATAACTCTGTAAAGAGCTCCACACTCTCAGCGGCCGTCTTTAACAGAATTTTCTGTATATGTATCGTGAGGACACTCGCACTGTTTACAGTCTCATACCCCTTCAGACATTTACCCACCTGCTGTGTACCTCTTACACACACACATGCACGTACTGCCATGATGCATATGTAAGACACTCAGCCTCTCAAAATCAGTCCCCTTAAATTATCAGTCATGTTTATGATGTGATGACCTTTCACACCAAATATACTGCTTGTTCGATGTGTTGAAAATGGGTCGCAAAGCAGACCAAACTGTTCTTTTGGTCTTCCTGTTTTTGAGGCCCATCAATGGTTTACATCTTGTGGTAAATCCTCTGTATTTACTCCAGTGAAGTCTTTCCTTGATCGTTGACTTCGACACAGATACACAGACCTCCTGGAGGGTGTTTTGAGATTTGCTGTGAAAAGGTTTTTATCACCAAAGAAAGAATTCTTCTGTCATCAAACATAGTTGTTTTGCATGGTCTTCTGGCCCCTTCTGTGTTTCTGAACTGACCAGTGCATTCTTTTCTTTTTTAAGAACGTACCAAACAGTTGGTTTTGTCACACCTAACTTTCTCTCTGATGGGTTTGTTTTGATTTTTCAGCCTAACGATTGCTTGCTTAACTGGCTGCAAGGCTCTTTGGACTTCATGTTGAGAGTTAACAGCAATGGACTGCAAACGCAAAAGGGAATCAACACTAAGCCTTTAATTTCCGGTTACTAATAAGTGAAACTAACAAGTGAAATTATTGTGGGTTTTAAAAACATGCATTCTCAAGAGGGCGATAAGCAGCTTCCACATTATGAGACAAAAGGTGTAATTTTAGGATCATATCATGTAGCAAACGTACCGAACACATTTAAAACAGCACATTTCACTCAAAAAACTTTCAGAACATTAAATTATTTGACGAAATGTGAGAAATGTGGAATGTGCTGTTTTAAAAAGTTCTGTGGAATTAACGTTGCGGCGTGTCAAAGTTCCATGGAAAAGCTTTCTCGCTCTCATTTGTATTAAAATGATAAAATACCACAGCTATCAGGAACCTGAATTGTTCAAATATTTGCACAACAAATATTATAGCTTTGTACAAATCTACAATTTCTGAAGTATAAAGTAAAAAATAATAAGTAAATAAGTAAAAATAATGATAAATGCATAAGCAAATTAACTTACACAACAGATGTGTTATGAAGTTCCTGACGTCTCTGTTCCTGATCTTTCTACTGTCTCTTTCTCTTTCTCTGTCCCTGTTACTGTCTCTGTCCCTGACGTCTCTGTTCCTGATCTTTCTGCTGTCTCTGTCTCTTTCTCTGTCCCTGTTACTGTCTCTGTCCCTGACGTCTCTGTTCCTGATCTTTCTGCTGTCTCTGTCTCTTTCACTGTCCCTGTTACTGTCTCTGTCCCTGACGTCTCTGTTCCTGATCTTTCTACTGTCTCTGTCTCTTTCTCTGTCCCTGTTACTGTCTCTGTCCCTGACGTCTCTGTTCCTGATCTTTCTGCTGTCTCTGTCTCTTTCACTGTCCCTGTTACTGTCTCTGTCCCTGACGTCTCTGTTCCTGATCTTTCTGCTGTCTCTTTCTTCTTCACTGTCCCTGTTACTGTCTCTGTCCCTGACGTCTATGTTCCTGATCTTTCTACTTTCTCTTTCAGTGCCCCTGTTACCGTCTGCATCCCTGACGTCTCTGTTCCTGATGTTTTTTACATACACTGTTTCCACCTGCTACACGCTGATAACTGTGTTATCCTGTTATCCTGTTATCATTTAACCCTTGTGTGGTTTTGGAACTGTGGAACCCATTTTCAATCTTTACAAAAAAACTGATGAGATTTATTATTATTTCAGCCTCAGGTTCTTGTCCTTTGCTCATTTTCTGTGAAGAACATATAAAATAACCCATTTTCAGTGTCTTCACTCTGTTCACCCCCCACACATTTATATTACACGTGGTGTTGGGCTGAACCCGCGGGGAGGAAAAGTGTGGAGGTGCTGTGTCCTTCACTCTGTTCTCCTCCTACATGGCCTGCTGTTAGTGTGTGTGTGTTTGTGAGGGTGGACAACATGGACAGGTTGCTGACTGGCTACAGCTGCTAAAGGAGAACCCTACGCTGGACACTCGTGATATTTTAAACATCTGGTATTTTTACATAAATTGTTGTGGCTGTATTGATTTATAAAACAATAATGCAGTGGGTCCTGCAGACCACTGAGTAACACACACATCAACACCACACAAGGGTTAAATGTTTTGCACAGTCTGTCTTTTGATCCTCGATTGAAAAAAAATCTCAGTGAACATTAGATCTTTGTTCACACCCTCCTCCAGCACTGCTGATTGAACCAGAGTGCCTTGAACGTTTCCTCCACCTCCTCTCCTGCTGTATATAAGGAGGTGATCCATCAGTCCAGTCTCAACACAGACTTCTCCACCACCTCAGCAGAAGAACCCATCCACAAGATCATCCACAGAGGGAGAGACACTCATCCACCAGAGGAGAAGAACGACATCTTTATAGGTAATCAAATCCAGCATCTTCTCAATACCTTTCAAATACAAATTCATTGACACATATACATGTGGATATTTTTATTGAAACTTCAAAATAAACAGAAAAGTTCATTTAAAAAATACATTAAACAAGTTCTGCACTATTTCTATCTCACTATTCAAACTAAAGCAGGTGTGTTAAGTTGATCTTGTTGAGTTGTTTGTACTAAAAGGTCAGAGTGTTTTTTTCAGTCTGATCTCTTCCAGTGAAGCTCTCACGACTGTCAGGTGGGTTTGACCTGCTGATCAGAGACTTGTGGAGTTCAGGCAGCTCAAGTGCACACTGTCATTAAAGCAAAAGAGGGACACGCCACCAAATACAAAGAAATTCTGAAATTCATGTTCAGCTTTTAAAGACACTATTTTTGTTATGCTGATAATATAATTTGTAAATCAACATTTTCTATTAAATTGGAACCATCTTCTCAGACCTTTGGACCCAACTGTATCTACCTACCTATCTATGTATCTATATGTGTGTGTGTTGTGTGTGTACAACAACACTTTATTTATTATTGAGAAGAAACTCAGATGTAATCACCTACCTTAATACCTTACAGCTTAAAACAGGTGTAAATATATTTCATTTTCTCTCAACAGCAGATATTTCAGTCAAACCACCAAAGCACAAAATGGCTCAAGCTATCACTGAACTTCAAGTCTCTACCAATAGGGATGAAGAAGACAAGTTTAAAAAAGATTTCACCAAAGTTGATGGTAACCTCAACAGTGGTACATCAGGGCCTGAGGTGTTCCTGTGGTACAAAAAAGAGGGCAACAAACCTGTCACCAGAATCCAGTTCTCCTTCAGGACGGAGATGGATCATGCTCTGGATGCCTCTGGTTTCAAAAAGATCCAAAAAAACATAAATATAGGTACTAATGGTGATGCCATATTCCTGTGGTATATGAGTGGCACCACCTCATCTGACATCCCCATTGTGGACCTGAAGGTGACCACAATAGTGCAGGATGAGTCGAGGCTGTTCCGCTCTGGCTGGGAGCGCCTGGGCTGTGATCTGAACCGCAGCAACCGTGGAGATCCAGTTAATCTCTGGGTGAAGAGGAACACAACAAGCTACATCCATGACATCTCAGCCTCTCTGAGTTTCGCTGAAGATAAAAGCCTCTTTGACCAGGGATACATCTGTGTGGATGAAGACACCAACCGTGACGTGAAGCCTCCAGGTTCTGCAGTGTTTCTCTGGTACCGCCATTCTACATTTCCAGACAATTGCATCACTGACATCGAAGTTTCTCTCAATAAAGATCAGGAGAATAAGCTGGAGAAGAACGGCTACATAAAAGTTAATGAAAACCTCAATGCTGGCACCAATGGAGACCCTGTATATCTATGGTACAAGCACAGCGAAGATCCTGCCATCCAGTTCCTCAATGTGTTAGTCGGTGATGAAGCTCTGCAGGTTTATAAAAGTGCTAAAATCTGCAAGGTTGTGGAGAAAAACCTGAATAATGGTAATGGTGGAGTTCATCTTTATGTTACCTATAAGTGAGAGCCTGAGTCTCAGGATCTGTCTCACCCTCAGTAATCAAGTCTTCTTTCTTTGCTTTATATGCTCTCACTGTAGCACTTAATGAGATATCCTGAAAGGCTGATCAGTGTCTGTACTGACTGTCCAGCCTTTACTAAAGATCTAATTTGAGAGAATCTTGTATTGAATTGTAAAAATCAGTATCATACAGAGATTTATTAAAGCAAAAGCCATGCTTAAAGATTGTATCTGTTTTAATGGATAACCTAACGATTGTGTAATCAGCTGAGTTCATCTCATCCCCTGCATTTCTTTTCTTTCTCTGATTAAAGCATCATAACAGACTGTTGTCGTCTTCTGAGTCTGTGATTATGAATAGTTTTTGAACTAGAAAAGTTCGGTAACACTTTACATTACAGGTCACACATTAATGAATAATTATACGCAAAAAAGAATCAAATATTTGATATTTATATATGAATTAACTGCTGTTTATCGCACTGCAAATGTGAAGAGATAAGTGTTGAATCATATAAATAAGTAATGTTACAACTAACTAGTGAGATCTTAGTCCTGCTAATTATCCTTTCATTTATTTACTGATTCATAATTACATTTTCCTCCACTGTGCAGTGTTGTGTGGAACACAGTCCTTTGGCTTTACCAGACACTTTCATTCACCTCCCCATATTCAGCTGCCTCGTTTTACACCATTTTCACCACTAATTACTCCTTACTTCATATAACTGAACCATCAATTAGTACCTTATGTGTCCCTACAAGTAAAGTGCCTGTCTTCACTACTTATATACTAATTATACTGTAAGTTCATGATTAAGAGCAGCCTGCACACAACTCACTGTGAACCGTAAGTGGGTGTACTGGTTAGGCCTAAAACACTGGCTACTCATTCAGAGACACATGTAGACAGTTCCCTCTTAAAAGCAACAGGATGAAATATGTACATGCTTACAATATCTGTCATACTGCTATCTTCATGTGTGAAATTTAGGGCCAAAATGGTGGAAACCCTCACCTGGATCCCTAAACAAGCTGCCATTTGATAAGATGTGCAAGTATGAAGGACTTGTTTTAGTGTAATAAAATGTTTAAATCTTCAGTTCATGGTGTAGAATCATTTAGACTAAACATTTATTGATAATGTGTGTCTATTTTTTTTACTTTACTCAAGGGGACTTTAAAACTAGTAGAGAGAAATGAAGATATCAGTAATTAGTCAAGTCTTATTCATGAGTTCTAAGAATAAATAGTAAAAATGATCACTTTACTGGGAGGGACACAAAGTAGTAAATACACACAGTAATTAAACGTGGTAATGACGAAGGCAGTGACAACACAATTGACCAAAGTACTTTTAAAACACTGGAAATAAATAATAGTAGTGTAAGTAAATGGAAGTAAATAATAATAGTAGTCAAAACTAGTTGAGTCATCTAACCTTATAGACTAGCTGCAAAACCATCACCGATTGTTCCCACCACTGCATGGCCGTCAGAATCGCCTCAGAGTTTTACCACCATGGATCCCACTCTGGCAGTTTTTATAGTGATTTTAACTGTGTTTCCTCTGGGGGAACAGAAAGGGAGTTTCGATGTGCAAATTTCCTCTAGACACTGAGGGGAAAATACGACAGTTAACACTTTCTCTACATCATACAAGGTTCATTATACAGCTATCTGCCAGTTTGGTAAATAATTCTGAGATATTGTTTTTATTTGTTTTGAATATTTAAATAGGACATACACATTAATACATACATCAAATTAAAAACTACAGACAGCACACACAACTGTGGATAACTTGCATTAACCACACAGAAAAAAATATATATATTTGGGTGGTGGATCATTCTCAGCATTGCAGTAACACTGACGTTGTTGCGGTGTGTTTGTGTGTGTTGCGCTGGCGTGAGTGGATTAGACATACCACATTAGTATCTGCAAAAAAGTCCTAAAAAGCTCGCAAATTTGGGCATAAATCAGTTAATAAATTAATAAATAAAGGACATAGGAGTATATAATATTGTTATTATTATTATTATTATTATTATTAAACAATTCCACTACTACCACTACTAATAATAAGTAATTCATGTAGCTTTTATGCATCATAATTGTCTAAAAAATCTTAGAAAAATGTATACCAAAATTTATGTTTTTGTAAATTCCAACAAATTAATAATCTGATTCCTTCAACACATCCAAAAAAATGTTAGCACATAGGCATGATTACTGCTTTGTTACATCACCTTTACACTTTTTAATTGTTAGGGAACTAAGGATCCTGAGGAGGCCCTGCAATGGACTGGCGACCTGTCCAGGGTGTGTCCTGCCTTCCGCCCAATGACAGCTGGGATAGGCTCCAGCACCCCACCGCGACCCGGAAGGATAAGATGGATGGATGGATGGATGGATTAGATGATGGATGGATGGATGGATCCTGAGGAGGATACTGAGGATAATACAGTTTTGCAAGTTGAATTTCCACTCATTCCTGCTTGATACAAGACACCAGCTGGTCAACAGTCGGTGGTTGTCATTGTCTGATTCTTCTCTTCTTGATGTGTTATACATTTTCAAAAGGAGACAGAGCTTTACTGCCATGAGGCCAGTCAAGGACACAAAGTCTTTGTCTATGAAGCCACGCTGCTGTAGCATGTGCAGAATGAGACTTGCTGAAATAACCATGGATTCTGGTCCTGATGCGCTCTTCTGGTTCTGCTGTGCCATAGAACGGCAGCACTTGTGAGAGCTCCGGGTAAACTCTACAGTTTTTTGTGTTTTATTGTGCTGTTTCTTTGTGTTTTTGCACATACTGCTTTTGGGATCATTCAATATGATTGACAAACTCTTTTGAACATCTGTTCATTTTCGCTGACGTCTTTAACCTCTCCTTACAACTGCCAGTGATTCCCAAGTGCTTTAAGGAAACCACAATTGTTCCAGTCCCCAAGAAATCGTCTGTCACCTGCCTGAATGACTATCGCCCTGTCGCACTGACATCAACAGTTATGAAGTGCTTCGAGCGGCTGGTCAAAGCTCACATCTGCTCAACACTTCCAACCACCATGGACCTTCACCAATCTGCATACTGCTCCAACAGATCCACAGACGACGCCATTGCACTTACAATACACACTGCTCTCACACACCTGGACAGAAAGAACACGTATGTGAGAATGCTGTTCATAGATTACAGCTCAGCATTCAACACAGTCATCCCTGCCAAACTCATTCCTAAGCTCACAGACTTGGGTTTGAACACTGGATACACATGACTGTGTAGCCAAACACACGTCTAACGTCATCTTCAAGTTTGCTGATGACACCACCATCCTAGGCCTCATCACTGATGGAGATGAAACAGCCTACAGAGACGAGGTCAGCGCTCTGTCAGAGTGAAGCCATGACAGCAACCTCTGTCTCCACATCAGCAAAACAAAGGAGATGATCGTGGACTACAGGAAGCTGCAGAGGGGTGGTCACTCTCCACCGTTCATCAATGGAGCCGAAGTGGAGAGAGTCAGCAGTGTGAAGTTCCTCGGCATACACCTCACTAATGACCTCACCTGGTCTCTCCACACCAACACTATCGTAAGATCTGCCCATCAGCATCTCTTCTTCCTACGTAGGGTTAGGAAGTTTGGCCTGCCTCCTCATATTTCTATCCAAAGTGACCTTCTTTCCCAAAGTGGAGACATAGCTCCATACTAATGCATCATCTGCGTTCAGCAGCATGCATCAACAGAGATGAGTTCTACCCAAATGCGTGGGCTCCTCCTCTTCCATTGGACACACAATATTGGCAACCTGCTAAAATACGAGTCACATAGCTATGGTGTTTTTTGGGACCACAGCATCGAGACCCATATTAATGCCCTTCCAGTAAGTAGAGAAGCAATGAACATGATCTTAGCATCATCAGAAAGACTAGATGCAGGTTGATTGGAAAAATAAATGGAACACTGAAGTAAAAAACCTTCACAACCATCTCAATCCCCATCATATTTCTCTGGAAGGGCTACTCCCAACATGAGTGGAGCAGGTTAAGGAGGAGGTAGTGTGGCTTGGGACTGCACAGACTACTGGACCAGAACTGAGGCAAGAGTAGCAGTTAATACTGCATCCAGGCAAAAACATCATAAACAGAGCTGAGGTGAGCGAGTTATTGTTTTGTGATTTGTATGAATCTACTATGCTCCAGTACTACCTCAGATAAACAGTGCTGCATCCACTGTGACGAGGTATTCTGTAACACTCAGACACAGGTATGCGGTGCAGAGTTTAAAGGGGACATATTATGAAAACCTCACCTTTTCAAGTCTTGTATTCATACATTGGGTATCTGGAGTTTCTACCAACCCACAAACTGTGAAATAAGACAACCCACTTTTTTGGTGGGCTGCCTAGTTCAGACAACACTGGCTCCAGCAACCCATTCAGTTTTTACACCCCTTCTTCATCAAGTGCAGACTCAAACCCCATTCTTCTGAGTATCGCCACCCACAGCTTCAGACGTAGCCTTCAACTAGGGCAGCATTTTGTTTTTGTTCTCACAAGCACCGAAGCCACGGCCTAAGCACGGGAACTGTTGAGTAAATAAAATTTATTTTTGATGGTGACATTCCAGCTATGGTAGGCAAAACCCTTTACATTTGTGCTAAGCACTTTGTGTCTGACAAAAAGCTGAAGTCAGCTTCATATTTGCCAGCTTTTTGTTTGAATTTTCCCATTCCATCTTAAAGGGTGCAGCAGTGAGATGTTGGCACCACAGGCTAAAGTTATCTGTCTAGCTTCTTGTTCAAATGTTCCCACTCCTGTTTAAACAGTGCTGCAGTTACATTCTGGTGTTAACTGCTGCACCACTTAAAGTGGAGAGGAAAAATTCTTACATGAAGCTGGTGAATAAGAAACTGACTTCAGCCTTGTGTGTCTGCTTTTCCATCCTTGGTCATTTCAGTGGACTAGCAACAAAGCTGTTCTCATATCAATGCCCCGTGTGGATGAGGGGACACTGCTAACTTCGCCCTCATTATCATTTAAAGGGCCAGGCACTCAGACCCACTGTTCTGAACAGGCATGTTTTAGACAGGGTGAGGAGGCTGCTGTGCTGCTTCATCCTTTTGACCAAAGCATGACAACATTCTCATAGCCTAGTAAAAGTACATAAATAAGAACAAATTACTCAAACACCATCAATGTAATGGAGTCCGCAGCCTGTGAGAACTAAACATTTATTCAGTTAGGGAAGGCTGATTTTGGTAACAGCATTCTCTGGTAAGATTTGGTTAGAACTGCATTCCATTGAATCCACCAGTA